TAGGTAGTCCATGACACAATGCAATAATAATAACAATAAGCAATATTCTATTTGTGTCATTTATTAAAATCTTTTCATATTCCTTTTTCTGTAATACAGCGTGCAACACAGGTCACAGTGGGCAGAAATAGGATCCTGAGCATGGAAATAGTGTCCTCCGTGGCACTCTTCCAGTCATGGCTCATGGATGGGATATTCCACACTCATTTCTTGATGGAATAATGCAAAAGCCCCTTCTTAAATGCCCCGAGTCTAATCACGTTCCAAGATATTGCGCACTTGTGGCAAGTCATTCCTATCAGCCTGGCCTTCAGTCGAAATTCTCACGAGGGGAACTTCCTGTCGTCCCGGCCCTAATTTTCCTGATGTGATAGTCACGTGATCCAGATCGTTGGAGTTAATACTGCTGACTATTACAGCTATATCTAATTAGCAAACATTGATTGAAGTCTAATGAAACTAAATGTGACAAATTTTTAGATGCAGACCTACTTTAGAAATTTACACTTTGAGCAAATATGCACAGTGAAGGGTATTTGGTCTTGCTGCAAAGGCCATTGTAGTGAGTCAACTACATACATCACTACCTTTATGCTATAACTTCCAAACAACTATTTCATAACTATTGAACTTCTTCGTACTCATCAATTTTATTTTTGTTACCTGATTACTGTGATTATATAAATTTGAAAATGAAATGTATACCTTGTTTCATCAATAGACGCTAGAGAACATACACGCTCACAAGACAAACCAACAGACCTTCTGCTTGAAATGTTTGCGTTTTCATATTCCAAAGAACACGGCCAATTTCGACATCTCTTTTTTTTTCTTCTTCATTTAAATTTAGTAGATTAGGACTTGGACTTACTCTGTACTTCGGACTCCCGTAAATCTCTTAATTGCGATAAATTTCTTAATTACTTTTTTTTCTTTTAATTTAGTAGATTTGGACTTGGACTTACCCTGTACTTCGGACTCCCTGTAATCTCTTCAACTCTGCAATGAGCTTGTATTTGTCTCCATATTCTGCAATCCTACACCTACTCAGGAACTGTCTTCTTTTTCCCTCTCACTCGCTTATTCTGCAACTAAAGCTTTGTGTTGAGACGTGCAACGGAAGAAAACGTTTCTTCTTCTTCTTCTTCTTTCTTCTTTTATAGTGTTTTAGACTATTATCTAGTCTCTATCCCCTGGATCTATTTTCTTTCTTCTTTCTTTTCTTTATATTAGTAAAACGTTTCACATTTCTGCTGCTCATTTGTTTCGCTCGGATGTAAACAAAGCCGGGCGGGGGAAACGAGGCTAAAGTTTTATTAATGTTAGCAGTTACGGTTATTATCGTGACTGTTATGACTATTATTAACATTATCATAACGACGATAAGGGCAATTATAATAATGATAAAATATCAGCAATAATGATAATGACAACACCTATAATAAAAAATAGGAATAATATAGATAACAATAATAGTACTGATAATGATAATAACAATGACAATAATAATTACTATTATTATAATAATAATAACAATAACAGTAATAAGAATGATAAGAACAACAACAACAACAAAACAACAACAATAATAATGATAATGATAATAATAATAATAATAGGAATAATAGTAACACTACTGCTACTTCTATTAATAATAACAACAACAACAACAATAATAATAATAATGATAATAATAATGATGATGATGATAATAATAATAATGATGATAATAACTTTAACAATATTTATGATATCAATATCAATGATAATGATGATAATGATAATGAAGATGATGATGATAGTAATAATAATAATAATAATAATAATAATATTAATAATAATAATATTAATAATGGTTATGATACTACTACTAATAATGATAATAGTAATGATGATGATGTGAATAATAATAATAATATGATGATAATAATAATAATAATGATAATGATGATAATAACAACGCTAGTAATAATAATGAAAATAATAATGAAAATGGTAATAATAACGATAACAATAATATTAGTAGTAATAATGATAATAATAATAATAATAATAATGGGAATAATAATAACAATAATGATAATACCAATACGGATAAGAATAGTAATAACGATGATTATGATAATTATAACAATAATAATAATAAGAATAATAATAAGAATAATGATAGTAATAATGATGATTGAGATGATAATAGCAATAATGATAATAATGATAATGATCATAATAACAGCAATGGAAATAATAATGAAATTAATAACATTAATGATAATGATAATAATGATAATAATAGTAATAATAATGATTATGATAACAATAGCAATAAAGGTAATGATAATGATGATATTAATAATGATGATGGTAATTATAATGATAACAATAGTAATAAGGATAATGATAATAATAGTAATAAGGATAATAATAATAATATTTATAACAATAATAACAATGATGGTGATAATAATAATGAGAACAATAGCATTAATAATAATGATGATGATAATAATAATAATGATAATAATAATAATGACAATAATAATGATAATGATAACAATAATAATAATGACGATAACGATAACAATCAATTAAAATAATAATGATGATAATGATAATGATAAGGATTATGATACTATTATTACTACTAATAATAACAATGATAATGATAAGGATAGCAATAATAATAGCAACAATAATAATGATAATAATAATAATAACAATAATGATAGCAATAATAATGATGATGAAAATAATAATAATAATAATAATAGTAATAGTAAAAATAACAATAATAATGATAATAATAATAATAATAATGATAATGATAATAGTAATAATAAAAGTAATAATAATAGCAATGATGATAATAATGTAAATAATAGTAATAATAATGAAAATAATGATGAAAATAATTATGATAATAATGATGATAGAATGATAACAACAATAATGATAATATTGATGATCATAATAATAATAATACTAATGGTGATTATAATAATAATAGTGATAATAATGAGAAGAAGAATAGATAGTAATTATAATAAAAATGATTATGAAAATAATAATGATAGTAAATATAATGATAATTATAATAGTAATAACAAAAGTAATGATAATGATAACAATAATAATAATAATAGTGATAATATTAATAAAATAATAATAATAATAATAATAATAATAACAACAATGGCAGTAGTGACAATCGTAGTAGCAGTATTTATAATAGTAATAATTACTAATGATAATGATAAAAAATAATAATGATAATAACAACAATGATAATAATGATATGAAAGATGTAGTAGTAGTAGTAATGATATTGGTAATGACAGTAATGATAATGGTAAAGTTTAGTATGATAATGATAATAATGATACTAACAATAATGATAATAATAACATTAATAACAATAATGATAATAATAACAGTAATAACAATAATGATGATAGTAAGAACAACAACAACAATAATATAATGATAATAATAACATTACTGATAATTATAATAGTAATGTAATAATAATAATAATAATAATAATAATAATAATAATAATAAAAATAATAATAATATTAATGACAAAAATAATAATAATAATAATAATAATAATAATAATAATAATAATAATAATAATAATAATAACAATAATAATAATGGTAAAGATAATAATAATAATGATAACAATAATTATGATGATAATGATAATAAGAAATAATAATAGTGATGATAATAATAATAAGAAATAATAATAATGATGATAATAATAAAAAGAAATGATAATAATGATAATAATAAGAAATAATAATAATGATGATAATAGTAATAATAATAAAGATAATAATAATAATAATAATAATAATAATAATAGTAATAATGATACTAATACTACTACTACTACTACTACTACTACTAATAATAATAATAATAATGATAATAATAATGATAATAATAACAAACAATAATAATGATGATAAAAACAAGAAATAATGATGATAATGATGATGATAATGATAATGACCATAATAACTATAATAATAATGATAAAAACAAGAAATAATGATGATAATGATGATGATAATGATAATGACCATAATAACTATAATAATAATGATAAAAACAATGATGATAATAGTAATGCTAATAATAATAAAGTCACAACAATAGGAAATATTTATAGATAATAATGCCCATTATGAGGTAACCTTTAAACCCATGGACACGATGATATGTGCATAAATAAAAGACTGTTCTGATCACTGAAAAATGGAGGCAATTTCCTATTCCTCCGACTTTCACACTTGGCTGTGGTTCATGTTTCAAGTGCAAACAGTACCTCTCTGGACTGGATATCCTTGCTGAGAACGGTGTACAGGCCCTTAATGGTTTTGTGAAACAAAGCCACAAGTTACAATGTGACAAGGTTTTTTTATAGATCAAGAAAGTGTTTTATTTATTAACAAGACGTTCATTTTATGTCAGATATGCGCGATACTGTTATGAAATGCAGTTTAAGTATAACAAGGGTAGTCAGTCTGTATGTTACTGATACTATGAACCTATCTCTCTCTCTCTCTCTCTCTCTCTCTCTCTCTCTCTCTCTCTCTCTCTCTCTCTCTCTCTCTCTCTCTCTCTCTCTCTCTCTCTCTCTATTTATATATATATATCTGTCTCTTCCTCTCTCTGCTCATGTTTTTTTTTATTCTGTTTCATGGGCAAGCTATTACCAGGAACTAAAATGTCTCTTAGGTTTGCTCAGATTTTAATGTGTTACAAATCTGTTAAACAGAGTAAGGGTAGAATCACATTTGTTTAATGCATTGATATTTGTCTAGCTCTATTAATGTATGTATATAAAATTCTCACAGGGTTAAGGTAAAATCAGAATGCAGAAACAGATAGTGTGCATGGGAAGAAGATCTTGGGGTTTCACTCTATAGGCTAATAAAAAGCCAGACCAGTTTCAGGTAAACGCCTACATAAAACAGGTATCCACATTGGATCTAGTCATGTAGCTGTTCAGGAACTAGGCGTTGTATCTGTGCTGGTACTTGGAAGGGAACCAGGGCTGGAACCTGATAAGGTACCTGTACAGGAACCTGATAAGGCATCTGTATTGGGACTTGGTTAGGAACTTGCCCAGGAATCTGATAAGAAACCTGCCCAGGAATTTGATAAGGAACCTGGGGCGGAATCTGATAAAACACCTGACTTGGGACCTGATAGGGCATCTGAGCTGGAACCTGATAAGGGACTTGAGCTGGAACTTGATAAAGGGCTTGGACTGGAACCTGAATGGACTGTGCACCGTCTACACCCGGTGCTTGGAATAAGTCTCCATCCTGGTTACCCTGAGAATGTTCATTTACCTCTTTGTAACTCGCTTGTTCATCAGCTTTTTGGTAATCTTTTGACTGCTCATTTGGTTGCTGCGATTGTTCAGCTATATCTTGATAGCCCAGTTCATCTGGTTCTAGGTAGTCCTGTGGTTGTTCAGATGGTTCCTGGTAAACCTCTGATTGCTCAGCTGGTTCCTGGTAATCCTGTGATTGTTCAGCCGGTTCCTGGTAATCCTGTGATTGTTCAGCTGGTTCCTGGTAATCCTGTGATTGTTCAACAAGTCCCTGGTAATCCTGTGATTGTTCAGCTGGTTCCTGGTAATCCTGTGATTGTTCAGCTGGTTCCTGGTAATCCTGTGATTGTTCAGCAAGTTCCTGGTAATCCTGTGATTGTTCAGCTGGTTCCAGGTAATCCTGTGATTGTTCAGCAGGTTCCTGGTAATCCTGTGGTTGTTCAACAAGTCCCTGGTAATCCTGTGGTTGTTCAGCAGGTCCCTGGTAATCCTGTGATTGTTCAGCTGGTTCCTGGTAATCCTGTGATTGTTCAGCAGGTCCCTGGTAATCCTGTGATTGTTCAGCCGGTTCCTGGTAATCCTGTGATTGGTTCAACAAGTCCTGGTAATCCTGTGGTGTTCAGCAAGTTCCTGGTAATCCTGTGATTGTTCAGCAGGTCCCTGGTAATCCTGTGATTGTTCAGCCGGTTCCTGGTAATCCTGTGATTGTTCAACAAGTCCCTGGTAATCCTGTGATTGTTCAGCTGGTTCCTGGTAATCCTGTGATTGTTCAGCAAGTTCCTGGTAATCCTGTGATTGTTCAGCAGGTCCCTGGTAATCCTGTGATTGTTCAGCCGGTTCCTGGTAATCTTGTGATTGTTCAGCTGGTTCCTGGTAATCCTGTGATTGTTCATCAGGTCCCTGGTAATCCTGTGATTGTTCAGCAGGTTCCTGGTAATCCTGTAATCGTTCGGCTGGTTCCAGGTAATCCTGTGATTGTTCAGCTGGTTCCAGGTAATCCTGTGATTGTTCAGCAGGTTCCTGGTAATCCTGTGATTGTTCAGCAGGTCCCTGGTAATCCTGTGATTGTTCAGCTGGTTCCTGGTAATCCTGTGATTGTTCAACAGGTTCAGTCACCGGTCCCTGGTAATCTTGTGATTGTTCAGCTGGTTCCTGGTAATCCTGTGATTGTTCAGCAGGTTCAGTCACCGGTCCCTGGTAATCTTGTGATTGTTCAGCAGGTTCAGCCACAGATTCCTGGTAATCTTGTGATTGTTCAGCTGGTTCCTGGTAATTCTGTGTGTGTTCAACAGGTTCACCCACAAGTTCCTGGTAATCTTGTGATTTTTCAGCTGGATCCTGGTAATCCTGTGTTTTTTCAACCAGTTCTTGGATATCTTTTGGTTGTTCAACTGTTCCATCTGTTAACTTCTTGTAACCGTCGTCGAGGTCGCCTTGCATTCTGTGGTCTTCCATCGGCAACGTTTTCTCCTGAGACGTTTCTTCTGAGCTGTCTTCCTCGGAGCTCTCTTCCGAACTCTCTTGAGAAATCTCTTTGGAAGGCTGCCTGGAATCCCCACTGTAGAATAAACTCCCAAATTTCCGGAAAAGCTTGCCGATAAACCTGGTGTTTCTGTGGGGGGGGGGGGGGGGGGAAGGAGGAAAGTTGCAATTAATTTTCTTTCTTTTAATTGTCTCTCATTCTCTCTCTCTCTCTCTCTCTCTCTCTCTCTCTCTCTCTCTCTCTCTCTCTCTCTCTCTCTCTCTCTCCCTCCCTCCCTCCTCTCTCACTTTCTCTCTCTCTTTCTCCCTCCCTCTCTCTCTCTTGCTCTCGCTCTCTCTCTCTCTCTCTCTCTCTCTCTCTCTCTCTCTCTCTCTCTCTCTCTCTCTCTCTCTCTCTCTTTCTCTCTCTCGACCTCCCTCCCTCTCGCTCTCTCTCTCTCTCTCTCTCTCTTTCTCTCTCTCGCCCTTCCTCCCTCTCTCTCTCTCTCTCTCTCTCTCTCTCTCTCTCTCTCTCTCTCTCTCTCTCTCTCTCTCTCTCTCTCTCCCTCCCTCTCTCTCTCTCTTTCTCCTTCTCTTTCAGTACAACCTTCTTGCCCCCCCCCCTCTATACTCATAATTCTCAGTTTCCTTTCCCTTTCCCTGCCACTTTCGCTCGCATTACAACCAGCGGAGAAAATACCCACCGAGCAAATCCTGGTTGCGGCCGTTGACCTTCCCCGGCCTTCACTGCCGTCCACCCCCGTCGTTCTGTCTCTTCGTAATTCGTGTCTTTCAAATCGATGTTCCCCTTTTGCTCGTTGCTCTCGTCCCCAGTTCTTGGCCGATCAGCGTCTCTGTCGTAAATAGCACGTTTGTGAAATTCATGAAGCCCTTCGTAGTCATATTGAGCGCTGTCGTACTGGTCATTGTCATCCTGAGCGCTGTCGTACTGGGCACTGTCATACTGTGAGCCATCCTCTTTATCGTCCTTGTTTCTTCTTATTGGCGACCCCGTGATCTTGGATGGCTTTCTTCCTTTTTCTTTCGCGTTTTTGGGCCGGAACAAAGAAGTGATGGTAGACCAGAAGCCCCTTTTATCCAGGCTGGTTCCAGGAGTTTGTAGAGATCTCCTAAATCAGAAACATTTGATAATAAAGATCCATCTTAAGAATCCAAAAAAATTAACGTATTTGGTAGACTTTAAATTAAGACAAACAGACGAAAGATTTTCTCATAAAAAAAGGGCCGAAACTCACTTCAACCTTCCAGCTTGTGTGTTTCCCAGACTCTCCGTCTCGGCCACGCGGTCGGGGGTGTCGCTGTTCCTCTCCCCGCCCGTCCGAAACTGCCGCTTTCCACGCCTCCTATGGACAGTTCATGCTTTTGAAGAGTGAGGGCCTCGTGAATATTGTCCACATTTCTAATCAGTGCAAACCTTTGTAAACGTGCTTATTAATAGGAGAACTAAAACTGAAATACTTCACCAACTAATGACCCATTCTCTCTCATCCCAAACTGTCAACTTTTTTTATATCCCCCAAGTCTTCTAATATCTTAAAATCCCAATACAATTAATTTCGCCTCCTCAGCACAGAAAAGAGAGAATAAGAAAAAAAAAACAACCACAACAGTTGCCAACACTTCTAACCGAGGCAGCAAGTGAGACCAAAAGGAAGGCGCTTCGTTCTGCTCCTCGCTGCTGTCGCGTCTGGATTTCCACTGGCCACTTCGGCGACGCCCTAACCTGAAGCGTCGGCGTCTGCGGTCGTACAGCCTTGATGTCTCCGGATTCACGTCTCGTCCGCTAAGATGGCGCCAAGTAGAAACAAATGGTGGAAAGTTATATCTTAAGCTGGGCTAATGATTCGGAAAAAAAGTGATTTTTTTCTTTTATTATTCCACCACTTGCAATCCCTTTTTTTTTTACTCCTTTTCTCGTTTTTTTTTTGTCTTTCTCTCCCTTGTTTTTCCCCCTCTCATTTCACTTTTCTGTTTTTCTATCCATTTTTCCTTTTTTCTGGTTA